TAGGGTTTTACTAGAAGATTACTTCACTTGTTTTTACAGTTATGGTTGAATTAATGGATTTTTCTGGGCCCATAACCTGTTGACTTAAGTGAAAGTAAATTACTAACACCTAAGGTTTTTACTGTTACAATAATTATCTTTTATTTTACTGAAGTACACACACACTACATTTTTACTCAAACATAACTTATTCAACAATCTATATAATTAATACGCTACATGAAACTTTGTCGGTTGAACTCCTCCGCCATTTCTTAACCGATTTTATCCATTGACGTCTCATTGGAAAGAGCGTGTCGCGCATATTTGCAAACTGGCCTTACATTTTTGACAAAGTCCCTTGGGTTCTGCCCCAGTGGCTTTGAAAGTTCCCATGTTATCCTTATGAAGAACATAATTGTTTACATTTTGATCAGCTGTATAATTTAATTGCTGTTATTTATTTTTCAATTCAATGAAACGCATTGAGTACCTTTATTTACTATTTGAGTTTGTGTAAACATAACCCCCAAAACGAAAACAGATCGTGTTAGTATGATTGTAACTTAAATTTTTGAATTTATCGCTGCTTTGTGTAGATATAATTTGTTTATTTGTTGTTTTTTTCTTTTAAATGCCTCCGACGCTACGACAATGAAACATAGACAGGAGGCGTAATCGTGATAACGACCGTAGCTACAGAACAGTGACACGTAATAGGCTCAACTATTAGGTTAAAATGCGCCCTAACACTACCCCAAAACAACTTTTCGTTCAAAATTGGCCCTCTATCAATGACCTGTGTTGCCTGTACAGCGAGGCATTTTGAGAAGGAGGTTTATTAATAATGAAGATAAACATGATCTGAGTTACACACCGGTAATCTTTGAGTTGAATCTTTTAAATTCATTGTAAATATGACTGTTATTCGTTTTGAAATAACTCCTGTAATACTTTGCAATTGCTCGAATTCGAGCAACATGTACACTAGTTCTCATTACAATAAAAACAATCCTAACTATTTACACATGATCAGCTGTTACCAACATAAATTAAATTAAATACAGAACAAGTAACAGCAAACATATTAGGCCTATATAAAAATAAAATTACATTCAACAGTATCCTTATATATAATACGTGAAGGCGATTTCTACAAAACACTACTCCTCCGTTAATAATGGACGGACTTTTACAAACAACGTGTCAAAATAAAGCATTTTTTGTGTAGACGCCCCCTTTCACCAATTCCTGTAATAAAAATCCTCGGGCTTTGCCCCACAGGCCATCAAAGTTGGATTTTCTCCCGTAAGATTAACATGGGGGAATTGAAATATTTAATTGGAAACGTTGTCCCCACTAATTTGAGAGATCGGCTGGGCGTAGGAACTTGGTAGGGGTGTCCAAAGAAAGGTCTTGGTCTGTAGATGAGTTATCAAAAGAAAAACTAAGCAAAATCACTTAGGGCTCTGCCCCAGAAGCCTTTAAAGATCCCTCCACAGAGTTGTTTACATTTTGGCCATGTGAATAACACTTTTTAATAAAACAGCTGTTCCTTTTTAAATTGTATCTCAAACAACACATATTTATTACTGAATTCTACCAAAAAATAAGTATTTGCAATGTTATTTTCTGATTTTAAAATTGATTTTCCAGTACGATATGAACTGATGCCACGTGACGAAGGAAAAATCAATCTTACACTGTAGGCTAACGGAAATACCTCCCTTTGAAGTTAGAATATGTCTTCCCAAAAAATATTTTCTTTTCAAATAAAATCATATTACACTGATGAAATCACAGAAGTGTTTAACTACAAAAGACCCACCAATACGATTTTAATACTATTTAAATGTTCTTCCAATGGATAAGGAAGAGATGTCATATAACATACTAATAATAACTCCGATGACGTACGGTATGGGAAATATTTAAATCATTGAATGATCAACCAGAGTCGGAAACTAACGCAATTAATATCATTATTGTTTTTACACTTATTACTCTTTTTATAGAATGCTAAATGCTTAAAATATGTATATTTCACCAAATTTAACGCAGTTAGACGAATTAACGTAAGCCTTGAAAGTAACCGTCGATTTCGACGGGTATCCCCTAGTTTTGCCTATTCCATGAAATGCAGAGACGGTAATGCAACCTTTGATTGCAAGGAAAGTGAATAGGTTGCTGCAGATCTCTGGAGGGAGTTGAGAACACAAACCACTGAAAGATTATTTTTTATTTTAGCTTTTAACGGCATTCGGTCGTTATAGCTAATTCATGGGGACCCAGCATCCTCTTACGGCCGCCATTTTGATGACGTCATTACGGACGACCGAGGTCCTTAAAAATTGGGGTCTGGGCGGTTTTAGGTTCAGAAACTTGTATACTATAACCACCTAAAATTGCAGCCTCTCCGCCAGAACTGAAATATTCTGCCACTATATGCAGCTATACAACCCCACTATAGGTAACATTTTAAATTTGAGATTTATTGTAGTGTTAAATCAATATTTTGTATGAAGTGCAATGACCTCAATGGCTACTCTTGGGAAATAACCTGGGAATACAGATGGAATAGGTTTGTACAGGAAATATGTTAATTAAGTAAGTACTACCCTATGGCAAGTTCCAATGAACAGAAAACAATATTTTTGGGGATTTTAAACAGTTACTGTGTGTTGCTCTAAGCAAAATAAATTTAAAACAATATAGCCTAGCGTGAATATATAGCCTAAGCAGAAGATTGAGATGGTTTGGTCATATTTCGAGAAGAGAGGAAGACTCCACTACGAGAAATGTACTTGATAGAAACCCCGAAGGCAGGAGACCACGAGGCCGTCCCAAACTTAGATGGAAGGATCAAGTACAACAAGATGTAAGAAGACTGGGAAGGAGTGAAAATGACACCAAAGACAGAGACATCTGGAGGCAGTGTGTGGGCGAGGCCAAGTACCTCTTAGGGTACCAGTGGCCACTCCAGTAAGTAAGTAAGTATAGCCTAGCGTGTATGGTAGGCTATATAATAGTAGTAAGCATTAATAGTAGCGAAGCATTTTTGATATCGTTATTTCATTGTGTTTCACCCACGATTTTATTGTGCAAAAACAGTCTGGAAGTTGCATAAATTAATGAGTCGACATAAAATGAGGTTACTAACCTGTCGTCAATCAGTCATCTATTGTCTTCGATGACTATAATTTCGGGGTTATAACCCCATTTTCAAATCTTCTCTTCAGTCGTCAAATGTCAAACATATTCTCTTGCGTAAGCCGTCGTCAAAATTACTTTACATACACATATAAACACACACAAAAACATTTATAAATGTTTATAATACCCCCGCCGCAGCAAACCTGCAGACTAAGCGAATTTCCATTTGCCTGATTGGATTTACACTAAAATGTCTCCTTAAAAATATCACATTTATCCCTATTTAAATAGAATCAGTTTAACACATACTTAGGTTTGCTGCAACAGGGAGGGTAAAAGTGTTTTTTTTTTTGTAAAATGTTAATTGTTAGTAATAAATAAAAACATGTTCCAAATTTGGGCAAAATATGTTAATAAACAAGCAAACTACAACAGTTTACTTATTCTCCATAAGAATAACATGGGAATTTTAAATTTGCAATTTTTTGGAATTTTCTCCGTAACCATTAGGCGCATTATAACGCTTCAATATACTAAATTATTTGTTTTTTTAAGCTCTACAAAATAGTTTAGAAAGAAATTGCAAAATTTGATGTTTTTTGGGTCAAAAATGGGAAAAACCCATTTTTACCCCATAAAACCCCCCATAAACCCCCGTTCCCATGGTCTGATCATGCTGGTTCGCGAACTCGTTCGAATAAACGTAGGTTTACACGTTTGTACCAAATTTAATCAAAATCGGATCATTTTTGCTTGAGTTATCGCGCTAATGGACACATATATATATAAATATATATATATAAATATATATATAAATATATATATATATATATATATACATATATATAAATATATATATATATATAAATATATATATATATAAATATATATATATAAATATATATATATATATATGAATTTGAAAGGATGGTGTTTTTGGCCTCTAGGGACCTCAAAACGAACAAAAAAATCGGTCCCGGGTCCAGGTCTTACCATGAGTACTACGGTAATAGCTTATTCCCTATATGGGAAATTCGCTAAAAAGAAGCCAGTATGTATAAATTAATGAGTCGGTTCATTATAACCTAACCTTTACCTTCCTAATCTAACCTCACTTCAAAACACTTAATACAGTCACGAATCCGCATAAAACCCGACCTACCTTCCTCACGCTCACATGCCTAAATAAGAACTGATTATTTGGTTTCAAAAATCAAAACAAATTGATTTTTCATTCCGCATTAGATCAAGTATAAACAGTTGTTTGCTCTTCTCACTCAGTCCTACTCACTCCTCACTCAGTACGGACCCGTCCAGTCCAGACCACGCCATATTACCATTACCTTCAATACCGCTCAATTATCCTTAGATTCGTAATCCTCCCTAACCTTCGTTTTACGGCCACTATGGCAACTTAGGAATCTCTCCGACAAAAACTGATTGCATTTTTGGATTCAGCGTTAAAAATACTGTAAGTAGACATATAGAAATTACATCATATCCCAATGTAAATACAGTAAATATTTGCCAAACTGTAGAACGTTGACTGGAGGTCGATAGTATTTAACCTAAACTATCCAATCAATTTGAATTGGTTAAAAGGTTTCCAGTAGCGTAGGCTATTCATCAGAAATCAGTTTTAATTTTTCCTTTTTTACACTTTCGGTAGTCTAACTTATTTTGATTGTAAAACAGTCATCAAATTTAACAAGGGGTTAATAGGGCCTACCTAGGTTCTATCAAATTATCAAACACTTTAAGGTTAAATTGGCCTATGTGAATCTTAGTGAGTTATTGGCAAATTCACACGGATATAATCTTTTACATTTTGTACAATTAGGCCTACAGTATTGTAATTTAGTACTTACCTACTGCACTATTTAGGCCTATGCGTAAATAATAAGTTATTAAAGGTTACAGGAACCATTTAAGTGGCAAAATATACTACACAAAATGATAAGTAGGGTCCAAAACAAAAACTTAAAGCACATATCAAGGATTTGGGTAGAAACAATTAAAACTTAAAAATATTGTTAGAGCTAGAGCCACCCAATAGGCTAAGACTGCGACCAAGAAGGGTTACAATTTATTATCATAGATAAAACATGATTTATCTAGGCATATAATATTACTTACAGCATACAGTATGCCTGTAATTCATACTTAAAATCCCAAAATTTACAGATGACAGTAACTTACATACGGTAATTACTCAAAATTAGAATTTGACAAACACAATTACACAAGAAACTAACAAACAATTCAAAATAGCAGACGACACATCCCGTCCCGGCGGGTACGAAAAAATACTGGGGTACTTATTTATTTATTGAACAACGGCAAACACCATTTTACATTAAGTAGCTACAAATAGGAAAATATTATAAACAAATTAATAATTAACAGAGGAGTAGAAAACAATATTTAAAACTAATTATTACATGGCAAAACAATGGGTATTGATGTTACAGAAAAATATAACAATGTATAAAAAATATAACAATAACAAAATATAACAATAACAAAATATAACAATGAATATATCAATAACAAGAATACAAACAAAATAGATCACAAAATTAACATGAGAAAAGTCAACAACAAAGGAACAACAACAACAATGCTTTTACGGGGTACCCTCAAGGATGCTGTCAGTTACAGAACGCCGAACTACTCCCAAGAAGGCAGTAAGAAGGTCAGCAGAGCTGAGGCGCATAATCCGGGGAATGGGACTGGATCTGGCGTAGTTAGTCCCAGTATGGTCAAGTTCAAATACACGCTGATGTCTCATGATTCTCGAAGAAACATGGAAGTTTATCCTTTCCTGCAAGAAGGGGCAGTTGACTTGGTTATTTATCAGTTTGTAAAGAAAGGTCACATCAGCCACTCGCCTTTCTGTTTTCAAGACTCGGAATTTTATACATATTAGAGAGCTTGTCAACACGGACTTCACGAAAGTGAAGTCCATCAGTCATCACGACATCCCAGGAACCTGATGAAGCGTCTTTGTACCGACTGAAGATGGTAAATATGGCCAAGATGGTATGGTGACCAAACCAAGGAAGCAAACTCGAGTAGCTGCAGGATGAGAGACTTGTACAGGATAATAGGCATAGTTGCTCAAACCATGTCTAGCAGAGCGGAATACCAATCCGAGCATACGAGAAGCCCTGGTGCAGATTTGGTTTATGTGGTGTCCAAACTCGAAGGAGGAGCCAATTAGAAAACCAAGATCCTTGATGGTATTGCATCTCTCAATCCGGTTACCATCAAGAGAGTAGTCAGCTAACACACTGTATTTAATTTCCTTCTGAACGTGATCAATTTAGTTTTTATGGGATTTTTTATGCTCATCAAGGAGAGTAGACGGACGAGAAATATTCAGCAAACAGCTCACACATCTCATGGGTGGGAAATCTCAGTTGGACCATGTTTAAGGGAGCATAGTATGGAAGATGTTCGATTGAGATTCTTCACAAAACTCCAGAAGATCTTGGCATTAGTGGAAATGGTAGTATTAACATGGTTGACGTAGCTCAAGCGACAATCCCTGGATACAGCCCTGCATCGGTACTTGGAGTTCCTCACTTTCTTTTCTTTACTTTCCATAGAGGTGGTCAAATAAACCTTCTCCTGTCATAGGCTAGTCCAAATAAATACACAAATACCAATAGAGCTGCTGCCAAACTAAACAGCTGTTACAGCACCACTTGCGACGTTGCCAATTCGAAGGCCGCGGCCTGGAGTTAAGCATACTATGCTTAATCTATGATAAAACATAAAACTGTCTGAGTGTTCTATATTCCGCGGTCTAAGGCAAGGACGTTAATAAAGAAATAAATGGACAGCCACATGATAAGTGAGTATCGAAGCTTCATAGATGGAGAAAATGCACGCCGCTTCCCACTACTCTACTTTATGTGACTTTTTTTTATGTGACTTGAGGGAAAAAAGAAAAAAAAACAGAAATAAAACAAAACAAAACAAACAATGAAACAGAAACAAACAAAACAATAATATTATTATTACCACCTAACCAAAACCAAAGCACAGCTCGCCCTGCCTTTCGCTTATTTGGTTAATTGTTATTGTTTTTTGTGTTGATTTCATCTTGATGATAAAATAATGGAATATCAAGGTATGAAAATCCTAGTCACGAATGATATCGTTAATGTATTCAAAGCATAATAGCCTAACCTGAATTAGAATAGGTATAGGAATGCTAGGCTATGCTGAGGAATTTAACAGTAGGAGTAGGCCTAGTTAAGTAAAATAAAATTATAGGTTAGGCTAAATTATAGCTGTAATCTGAGGTAGTGAAGGCCATTCTATTCAGGCTTTAAAATGGTAGCCTAGCAGTTTCTTTTTTATGAGCTTAGGCCTAATTGTTTGATTCGTAATCCTACTAACTTGAACTGCATTCATAGAGATAGTGAAGGGACTATTGCAGTCTTTTGGACGAGAAGCCTGGTTCACATGCCCTCAGATACTTCACTTTAACAGTTCCTAAATAAATCACGATTTCGTATGTTGGTATTTTTTGGGGAAGTCATACTGTTCAATATTTTATAGGCCTAATTAGGGCCTAGTGGCGTTCTCAGCCTAATTTAGTTATCTGTATTAATCTAAGTAGGCCTAAGTTAGTAGAGTGAGTCAAAAACATAAGTCTCTGAATGAATGAATAATAATACCACTAGGGTTGCCATATCCCCGGATTTCCCCGGAGATTACCGGAATTTACCGGAGACTTCTGCAAAAAGTGGGGGCACTTTTGGAATAAATTAAGTTAAATGTTTGTGCTCGCAAATATAGTTTACTTATGCAATGACTGAAAAATGCAACTCTTGTATAAGTTACTCTCTATTAAGGTTTTTTTTTAGTTCCTAGTTTCACTTTGGCCAGTAACGTCCTTAGTTTATCGTCTGTTTTATTGCTCCAAGTCCTTTAATTCGCGTCTTCCGGCCAGTCCGAAGTCTGAAGGTATCCGTGTTCACTACCAGAGCCAAACCGAGTCTAGCAGACAGAGAGTGTTTTGTTTAGTCCTACGTTAAAACTTATACAGTACAGTTTTTAGTGATCAATGTGACAAGCAAGATTCAAATTTTATTACTATATTTTATTATTAATATTCAAATATCGTGTCACGCTAAGTACGATATTTGAATATTGACATTTTAGCACGGATATTGAACAGAAATGGTACGGATTAATAAACATAAACAAATGACGTCACTGGCCCGAATGTCAATAGGCCTACTAAGTTAACCCTCTATCTGGCGCTGGTCGATTTTTGACCACTAAAACGTGAGTTCTCAGTGGGGCTGGTCGATTATAGACCAAGACGACATGGGTCAGGCTTTTTTATTATTAAAATACAAAAACCGTTTTACAACCCAATAAATCTTATAAGCCTACCGTAGGTACCATTAGAAAGATGAGATTTTGAGGATTAATTTTCATGCATAAAACATTATTGAGTGAGTATTATGTAGTGTGAAACATAGTTAGAAAAACTAGAGATTTCAAAATAGATTTTGGCGGTGGAAAGTTTTGGTTAACTGACTAAAAAACAGCAGTTTTTGGCGATTGTCAATTAAATTGTAGGCCTATACAATATTAGTACATATTCTGAAACGACAATAAATTCCCTAAAATTCCCTCTAAATCTATGAGGTTGGTTGTAACAATTTTATTTGGTTTTAGAAAAGTCTTAAAAATTATGTTTTTGTAAAAAAAATCTTAAAAATTTTACATTCCAACGTAAATTACTCAAAAATGTTAGAATTCAATTACCGTATATAAGTTAACTATGTTTTCAGAAAGATCTTTTATTTCCTATTGTACAGAATCATTTTGTTTTCTGTTGATGCATTCTATTATTTCCTATGTGACTAAAAAAAATTGGTAGTTTTTCAAAAAAGAAAATATGTATGTAGAATTTATTTTTTTAGCCTATAATTTTATTTTTATGAGTAGCCTATTCAAAAACATTTATATTTCTATGTAGGGAATCATATTTTACACAACCTTTACATTTAGATAATATGTGTAAACAAGTTATTTTGTGGTTTTCTTGTGGGTTGCTTTGAAATTTCTAATTTGCATAATCCAAAAATTTGCAAACCTTTTGCTACTACGCCTAAATGCATTGATTTGAAAAAAATATTTGTATATTATTATATTCTACATTTATCTCTGAAACATAAAATATATATATGTGTGTACTTATATTCAGTGGCGTATCCAAGGAGGGGCGAAATTTTTTTTTTTTTTTTTTTTTTTAGTTGCCCACAGGCTACGACGTAGAATGCTGAATGCTGTTTAAAATCATAGCTGTATACACCCATGCACCCTGTACTGTACACACGGAGACACACGGGAGCTTTGCAACGTGCGTCCTAGAAACACAGTCAAATAATGAGTGCGTACACACTACACAATACACATGCAGTGCCAGTACTTCCGGCTTCGGCCTTCGGCCACCGCACGTTGAGCGACGCCACTCCCCGAGCCGTCCTTACCTACGCGGTGATAAAAATAGACTTGTCCATCGGAGCATCAACCTGACACCACAGTATTGACTAATAATCTAGCCAGATTGAGACGGCAAACAAGCAAATCGACAATTCTTTAGGTCTATTTGATATACATGTTAGTGTCCTTGTCAAGTGGTGGCATTAGTTACACGGTGTTCTAAGTGGTATTTTTGTAATCGACATTGGTGTAGTTGTTTTAATTGAAGATAGTATAGTCTCATAACCTTAATGTTTGTTTGACCATGGATAAATTTGTTTTTAAGAAACCACGATTGGATTGTCCAGGTCCACCTACTGCTTCTAGCTTAGTAAGTTAATCAACTTATTAATTTTTGTAGGTGTAGGCCTAGGTGTACATTTACAAGGCAAATTAGTATAACTTTTTTCGCTACACTACTGTGAAACGACTTGTTTTCGTTACGTGAGCTTTACTACGGAAAAAAATGATTGCTATGCGAAATAAATGTTTACTATTTTTTTTATTTTGCCGACGTAAACAGACGAAAATTTGTTATTGTTTTGTAAACGGTTTCAATTTCGAACAACCAAAACTGTAGAACCAAATATTGAAGTCATATCCTAAAAAATGGTATGCGTTTCGTTATTTGCCTAACTAATAAATAAAAATAATATTGAATGTCTGTTTTAATTGTGAAAATAATTAGTCTTTGTAGCGAAAACTAACGTTCAAAACACGAGTGAAAGTGGGTCTATTCATATTATCGACCTTTTAAAATATAGTGCTCGATAAATCTCACACTCCAAACCTATGATCTCAAATATGTAATGACTCACTTTCTACTCTTGTTATGAAATTGAAATATACTATTCTGTTTTTATAGCCTAATAAGAATTATATTCTGTGCTTTAAGAATATTCCCGTCCAAACAATTATATAAAGATAATTGTTTACATTATATTAATTTATACATTTTATTTAGGCCTCCTTTTTTTGCCAAAATTTTGAACTATTATTCCAAAGTAATTGTTTTTACGCATGGATGATCATTAGAGTTACCTAAGTCATAAAAAAGGGAGATCCATAGAGTATTAATTTTAAACGATAAAGAAATATTTGCGTATCAACGTTTTGGACATTTTATCTTTTATTTTCAGAATGTCCCATCTACTTCTGTGGCTAAGACAAACTTATTGTGTGACTCGACCCCGACTTTACCGAGAGATGAAACCTTTGCCAAAAACGACATTGGGAACTTCGTCGGGTTAAAATCTTTGTCTGACATTGACAAAGAGGCTGTTTTAAGACAGACATAGGAACCTTCAATTACATTTAAAGGCCACATTCAAAAAATAGGAAACAAACAGCGGACATTTCAGATCAAATGGATTAACAAATATCCGTGGTTAGCGTATTCTCAAAAGTTGGATGGTGCATTTTGCAAGGCATGCGTAGTTTTTTCTACTTCGACTGTTGGAAAGGGTAATCATGAAAAACCCGAAAGTTTGGTCACGAAACCTTTCAAAAATTGGAAGGACGCAATAGAAATATTCGAAAAGCATAACAAAAGCAAGTACCATAACCATTCATGCACTTCTAGGGATGAGTTTTTGAAAATTTTTGACAGGAAAATGCTGGACGTTGGGGAACAAATCGTTGCAAAAAATAGAAAAGATGTTGAAAAAAATAGATCCATTTTGAAATGCATGGTGGAAAACTGCATTTTCCTTGGTCGTGAAGAGCTTTCATTCCGTGGACATAGAGATTCTGGACGGATTACGGCGGAAGACCCTATTTCAAATGACGGTAACTTCAGAGCTTTATTGAGATATCGAGCAGCTCACGGAGATAACCTACTGGCTGATCACATTCACTCTTCTGCAGGCAATGCCATGTATTACAGCCCATCTGTGCAAAATGAGTTATTGAATCTTATTGCTGGTCAAATACAGAGGTCAATTTTGACAAGAGTTACTAAAGCAAAGTTTTTTTCCGTGCTTGCAGATGAAACTACAGACATTTCGAGAGTTGAACAGTTCTCGCTTTGCTTTCGATATGTAGATCGTGATCTTTTTGAACTCAGGGAAGATTTTATTGGATTTGTTCCTGTATTTTATTTGACAGGTGCAGCAATTGCAGAAACTATAAAAAGTCAAATTGGGAAGTTTGGGTTGGACCTAAACAACTTGCGAGGCCAAGGGTATGATGGCGCCTCATCGATGCGAGGAGCTTTTACAGGAGTCCAAGCACAGATAAAAAAGGAATATCCAAAAGCAGTTTACACCCACTGCTCTTCACATTGTCTCAACCTTTGTTTGGGTGATGCAAGCAAGATTCCATGTGTTAGAAACTGTTTATCGACCATCTCTAACATTTGCACATTTTTCCGTGCAAGTGCAAAGCGCACTAAAGTCCTGAGAGATGTTTTGACTAGCGCTGGGAAAGATATTAAAACCCTCCATAGTGTGTCAGAGACGAGATGGTTGGAGAGGCATGATGCTGTAAGTGTCTTTGAAGAGTCGTTCGAGTCCATTGTTATGGCTCTTGAAATAGGTAATTATGGACTGGGGTGATGATAACGGCTCTAAAGCATCTAGCTTTCATACATGCGTGTGCAAGTTTGAATTTATCATGACACTAACGGTTATGAGTAAAATGCTCTCACAAACGTACATCATATCAAAGTACTTACAAACCGAAAACATCGACTTGAGTTCAGCCATAAAAAAGATTGAACTTGCCCAGCAAAACATCTCTAAAATGAGAGCAGAGGGAGACAATGAGTTCTCAAAACTTTTTCGGCGGGCTGAAGAAATGGCACGAAACCTAGGGATTGAACCAAAAACACCCAGGACTGTAGGGACTCAAAAATATAGGTCTAATGTAGAAGCGAGAACTCCAGAAGAGTTCTACAGAAGAACAGTATTTTACCCATACGTGGATGAAATGTTGTTAGGGATAAGTGAGAGGTTTACAGCCCACAAAAATATTCTCACTGGGTTAGACAGTGTTCTCCCATGTAATGTCAAAAACAGACAGTTTGCTGATCTCGAGCCTGCCTTGGAATTTTATAGAAGTGACTTAGAAAACACTAACAAAACGATACTCACTGCTGAATGGGACTTGTGGAAAACGCATTGGGAAAACGTCACTGACCCTCCAAAACACGCGGTTGAAGTATTGAAGTCCCTAAAAGGAGAAGATGACACGTTTCCTAACATGACGGCAATTATTAGTATTTTGGCAGTTCTCCCTGTTACAACAGCATCTGTTGAAAGGTAAATACTTAAAATCACATAATTGGCTTGTATTCAAATTCAATGGACAAAGTTTTCCATTAAATATATTACTGAACGGTCAATTGAGAAACATATTCAATCAAAACATAATGGCATTATTATTCAAACATACTTAAGCATAAGAATGTCCTATTTCCTAACATTCTTTTTTGGTTCCATTATTTTTACTGAGAAAACTATTATAATTTAACTTCAATAGTAACGATAATTGTTTTATAGGATTTGTCCCTACATAATTAAATAAACGGATAGGAACAATTCCTTTGTTAACTGGCTTTTGTTTTTCAGATCCTTCTCGAAGTTAAAAAGATTAAAAACCTATTTAAGAAACAGCATGGGAGAAGAAAGACTCACCTCTCTTGCTCTTTTGTCAGTCCATCGTGACATTAAAATAGATACTGAGGAAATCGTGAATCAGTTTTCACGATCTCCAAGAAGACTGGAGTTTTCAAACATAATTGATTCATAGATTTTTTGTAAAACCAGTTTGAGTTTGTATGCAATTAAATGTACAGTTTTGAAAACGAGAGTTGTTTTTTTAGAACTAACTAACAATACCTTTTGGATTCACGTCAAAGCAATTTATCAATACTTAATCATTGATCATTCTAATACCAATACTACACACACTGACACTCTAACGTCTAACCATAGATAAAACCTAGGGGTGTTTTTTTTTTATCTATGGTCTAACTTATCATTTTATTTTGGACATCTAGCGTTTAGAGTAAAATCTACATCAGCGACGTCCACTTCCTGGATAACCTGTTTCCTAAGTAATAATTAATATCTTTCTAATATTACATTTTTTAATTTGATGACCTATACGATTTGTTATGCTATGGTGGTAATAAATGTGTAAAAATCATTCAAATCGGGCAGTTTGAAGTCGTTAAATAGTTACTCGATAAATAGTTTGTAAATAGTAAATAGTTTGTCGATAAATAGTTTACTTATTTAACTTAAATAACATGCTCCTTAATTAATATTAGTTTTCTAGACTATTAACTGTCCGATCAAAAGTATTTTATTATATTAATGATCAGGGGGAAATGCTTATTTATGCCAATTTTAAATTAAAATTTTATTTATATCTGGAAAAAAGTTATTGTTTTTATTAGAAGCCTAGTTGTGAATCATCGTCCAACCAGACATACGAGAGAGGGGGGGAGCGAGATAAGCAAGCCCTGTGTTGCCAGTTAGTGCAAATCTCAAGTGAAAAATTATATAATGTAGGCCTACTGTAAAGTGCTGTACTAGCTAAATCATCTTAAAGTTTATTATTTTGTACTCTGCCTTTTTTGTATTCTACAAGTATCATAAAACGAAAAGTTTTTATACTATGTATGTACAAGTATACTAAGTTACATAACTAACGTGCAATATCATGGTGGAAGGAAAATACTCACAATGGTGCAATATAGTATTGGCTTATAAGTGCCATATTCTTTATTCTATAAGTTGAGTGTAGTTTTATTAGCTTGATTTATTTTATTAAAATTACGTCACACAGATAAATAGTAGTTTGGGAATTTTTTTTTTAATTTCAGAGCAGTAAAAGCTATTTTTTAGTGGTATTACACCTAGATTATTCTCTACTTTAGAGCCTCCAGAGGTGTTAGAAACTGCAATTTTACCCCATAAAATACAAAAGTTTTTCCGGGGGAGGTCCCTTCCCCACGGGGGGTATTCCATACCCCCCAGACCCCCCGGATCGGGCCCCCCCCAAAGCTGAATCCTGGCTACGCCACTGCTTATATTCACAAATAAATGTACTGTGGCAAAATATATGGTACCACTACAATACCCCCACCGCAGCAAACCTGCAGACTATGCGAATTTCCATTTCCCTGAATGGTTTTACACTAAAATGTCTCCTTAAAAATATCACTTTTATTCCCTATTTAAATATAATCAGTTTAAAACATACTTAGGTTTGCTGCAATAGGGAGGGTAAAAGTGTTTTTTATGTAAAATGTTAATAGTTAACTTAGTAAGAAATAAAAACATTTTCCAAATTTGGGAAAAATATGTTAATAAACAAGCAAACTACAAAAGTTTACTTATTCTCCATAAGAATAACATGGGAGTTTTAAATTTACAATTTTTTGGAATTTTCTCCGTAACCATTAGGCGCATTATAACGCTTCAATATACTAAATTATTTGTTTTTTTAAGCTCTACAAAATAGTTTAGAAAGAAATTGCAAAATTTTATGTTTTTTGGGTCAAAAATGGGAAAACCCCATTTTTACCCCATAAAAGCCCCCATAAACCCCCGTTCCCATGGTCCGATCATGCTGGTTTGCGAACTCGTTCGAATAAACGTAGGTTTACACGTTTGTACCAAATTTCATCAAAATCGGATCATTTTTGCTCGAGTTATCGCGCCAACGGACACACATACTGTATATATATATGTTTGCTGTATTTTTTGTTATAGGATTGTTGGTTTTATTGTGTATGATTTTAAAAATGTTATTTTTTGTTCTGTAGCTTAATTTTACTGGGGTATGTTTGAATGTTTTTCTGATTGCTTTGTTAAAATTGTTGTTGTATGGGACGCACATGAATTTCTTTTCTTCTTTGTGTTTCGAATTGTTTTCTAAGTTTGATTTTAATTAATTTCTTTTCTTAATTTTCTTCTTGATCATATTATCAATCAAGATAAAATTAAGAAAAGAAATGAATTAAAATCAAACTTAGAAAACAATTCGAAACACAAAGAAGAAAAGAAATTCATGTGCGTCCCATACAACAACAATTTTAACAAAGCAATCAGAAAAACATTCAAACATACCCCAGTAAAATTAAGCTACAGAACAAAAAATAACATTTTTAAAATTATACACAATATATATATATATATATGAATTTGAACGGATGGTGTTTTTGACCTCTAGGGACCTCAAAACGAAAAAAAAAAATCGGTCCCGGGTCCAGGTCTTACCATGAGTACTACGGTAATAGCTTATTCCCTATATGGGAAATTCGCTAAAAAGGCCAAAATATACCCGCCACTGGTGAATAAAATGACTGCCAGATCTAGGGTTATTAGCCGTAACAACTGGTTTGAAAGTTTTTTGAAAGTTCCATTTAAATATTAATAAAAACGTGTTTACTTTCGGGCCAGTGACATAATTTTTTCATGTATTATGACCCATACAGTTTCTGTTATAATATTTACTAGCTGTTAGCCTGACCTACGTACAGAAAATCAAATAGTCATTTAAAACTGAATATAATTCAGAACTGCTAGTTTACACGTATAAAGAAAAGTTTTGGCAGACTTAATATAGAAAATTTCTTGTTAATAGGCTACCACGTGACCATCTAATTCATTTGTCTGATTATAGGCATGTACAATATGCATTTAAATCCGATAATTTTACAATAAAAATGCAATTGTGTCGATTTTAAAAGCCTTGAAGTGAGATTTGCGGTCGATTCACACACACTGGTTTAAATTACAGTAGCTACATATACCACCTTTAATTGCATATTATCACTTACTGTAGTAGGCCTACCTTATTTCACCTATGCCAACTGAAACCTTTTAAGAGGAATCTTCTATCCTTTGCCTGTGCTAATGTTGATCCAAGTCTGGTGAAGTCTTTCATTGCTTGGTCCTTCAAATAGTGGTCATCTAATTTGTGGTACTCATTGGTAAGATTTTAAAATTTAATGTATCTTCTCTCCTCCACGCATCTAGGTGTTTAAATAGGCTATTCCTCTTAGCTCTCTGTTCTTTCGTATCTCCAACCTCCGTTATTATAAATGGCCCGTATATTTTCTCTGCACTCTATTTCTCAAACCCAGCAATAAGGTTTTTCGGTTCTTTGGTCAGTGCCCAAGTTTCTGAACCATACACTACTGGGATATTGTGTTATGAAATGAATCCAATTTTATGAACCAGACGTAGACTTAAAAACTATTTCAAACTACGTCCATATGTTTACTTGTAAGCAAAGGGAATTGAGTTTGATCAAATGTCAACAGATAGCGCCGCCGTTCCCAAACTTAAACCCTTAACTGTACTTAAGTTATGCCCTTTCTTAATATTCTTAGACGTATTTGCACATCTACGTGAAAATACCTTTAATTTGTCACCTCAAACGTTAAAATCCGTTAAGCCGTTATGGAGTTATGACTGTGAAACGAAAACTGCTTGCGTATTAATATATAGATTTTTCTTATGAAATTTAAAGAAAATAAAAATTGCTATGTATGTTTTTAGGAGAGAAGCTGACCCATGTCTTGCCACACTATATAAAGGAAGAAACTATTGGGTTCTCCCAAGGACCAGCTGGGCCTGATGCGGATGCTGTCACAGATATATTGACCATGTATTGCTCAGCAGACAAGATACCTGAGATAAAGAAATCACTCAAGGTGAGAACAAAATATATTACCAGGTGAGCGATCAACTACGATGTGTTCACACATACGTTATTTCAATATATGGAGTGTTGAAAGATTTTTGAGCTCAGAAAACTTTTTAAATAAGTCATCCTACAATTGTTATTTGTGTAACTAGTGAGCAAAGTGGCACTTTGCTGCACACAAGAGCAACTTATAAGCACGAGCTGCAGGTGAGTGTGGAATGATCTCGAGTGCAGCAAAGGCCTTTTGCACTCGTGTTACACATTATATTTTTCCTACAGTCACTATAAAGCATATAAATAATTAGTCTTTCAAACACTATACAACACGTTTTTAGGTTCAGCTGGCAACACAAATAGGTGCCCTAGAGAAAGTAGTCCCCGGTCCGTATCACTCCGCTATTTTTTCCTCGGCAAGCAATGTGCTCCGCGACTTCAGAAATTAGTTCTGTATATTTTTGTAATTTGCAGTGTTTTCCGCACCTAAAAAATGCTTTTAAGGTATTTTCTTGTTTATTAAGATCATAGGAATGTTTTAAAAACGTTTAAAAGAAAAGTCCACTAAGTTCAGAAATACCGAAAAGAGAACATAAACTATAAACACGAAATGACAGGTAAAATCATAGTTAATCAGCTGCTCATAGTAGCCTATTATTATCTTTAAGTGATGCCAACCTATTTCGAAGCGTACATGGATCACGTGCATAATTAGTAGAACCACACTGTTTTGTGCTGTATCGTTGGAATCCTGATGTGCGCCAAAGTATAAACCGCACGACAAAGTATAAACCGTACGACAAAGTATAAATATGCAGCAATTAGCAGCTTTCTGTACTATAAACAGTACAAGGAAGCCAACTTTGTCGGGTGATTGTAGAAAAATGTGGTTTGTAGTACTGAATTTATGAAATGTAGTCTATGCCTACTCCTGACTAGGCCTAGTAGAAGAGCAGACTTTGTAGTTAAAAGCCATCTAAGGCTTATGACTTCAATATACAAGATGGAAAAGACAATGTTGATTTTTCTTAAGATAACTTTAGGTGTAAAGTGCTATCTTGAGTCACATAAATCTCTAACAGTTCTTTGATTAATCCTTTGGTCTTTGCAGAATGTTGTTCTTTTTGAGAAACATAAAGTTAAACCAGAAAGGAAGATTACCTCAAGATCAAAAAAGACACATTTGAGTTTAAATGAAAAACGAAAGTTAGGACTGTACAAACTTTCTCGCAAAGTTTTAGGCCTAAATTATGAAAATTTCCTTGATCTGAACAATCTATGGAGACAATACTTTCTGGACAGTATGGACTTCAGTATGTTCAAAAACAAAAAGTAAGTAGCCTACCGCATCTAGTTCTATGATTCAAATTGTAAAGCTATAAGATTTTGTGTTGTTACAGTTTGCTACTGTACTATATTTTGTGTTGGTATTGGTACTGAGATAGATAGCTTAAATTGGCATTACTGTTGAGAAAGATGGACTCCGCATCTATGTTCAACACTTCTCTGGGCTATTGATTAACGATGATTTCTAACTAGGCCTATCTATATAATTAATTTGTATTAAATTAAATCAAAATTTGTAAAATCAACCCTATGCTAAGACAGTTAAACCTTTTGTCATCCATTTGCCCACTCAAACATTACCAATATTACACACATTGAATCTAGCTCCAGAAGTGTATTATAACACCTTCAGGCTCATTGCAACTGACAACATTCTCAGAAGTATACTTTTACTGTATCACCTCTGTTATAAAATGTAATATTGTTATATAATTCAATATTATCCTCTTTGTAAAGATATAATATATTAACAGATGTTTAATTATGATAGTAAAAAGAAACATGAATGAAAACATTGTGTGTTAAAAAATAAATAGTAAATTTGTTCCAACTAACTTGAGACTGATTTTATTTAACTCTATTGAGAATTGGTTCATATTTAAAGTTAGTTTACATTTTTGGCGAAGGAAGAGAAGACAGCTTCGGCGACAATTTTTGAAAGCACATCATAATTTTTAAAATGTTTTAAAAGAAGATTTGCCAAAAGAAGAACTCCTGGTAGCCATTGAAACACAATATTTAATTATGGAGGCGACATGTGACAATCTCTTCACTATGGATGAACAGATACAAGACTTGATGCTAGGCGAGAACACTTCTGACCTGGACGCAGAGTACGACGCTTCGTTAGAGTTTCGAGACAAGTGGTTCAACATGAAGGCCCAATACAAAAACCTGGTTAAAACCTCTCCCTGCAGCGACCGAGGTGAGTTGAACTCCTCTAAACATGAAACCAAAATTCGTTTACCAAAAATTGAACTAAAGAAATTTGACGGGCAGTTCAAAAATTGGATTGGATTTTGGTCACAGTTTTCGAAAATCCATAATGATCAGAGTCTGCGTGATGAGGATAAATTCGAATATTTAATTCAATCAATGACACCAGGCTCCGCGGCTCTAAAACTGATCGAGGGTTTTCCTTTGTCTCAGGAAAACTATTATAAAGCAATCGAGCTCTTGAAATCTCGATTTGGCAAAGACGAATTACTAATCGAGTATTATGTAAGGGAGCTGTTGACCTTAGTGTTAAGTAAAAGTAGCCAGGTGTCTGTCACTAACCTCTATGATAGACTTGAAGTGCAGCTGCAGGCTCTTGAAACTTTGGGCGTCACTAAGGAAAAATATTCCGCTATGTTATTCCCTCTTGTCAAAACTTCAATACCAGAGAATATTTTTAAGTTTGGGAAAGGTATCGAGTAGGCAAAAATGTGACCACAATGGAGCCTGGTAATTGCTTACCAGAGCTATTGTTGTTCCTAAAGACGGAAGTCGAGGCAGAGGAGAGATTTAAGTTGAGAGAAGGATGTTTTGGGGTAGTTAGTAGTGAAAATAACAAGGCAAATGAAGATTCACAGAAACAACAACGAACTGGTAAGCCTAAGACACCTTCAGCAGCAGTTCTGGTATCGTCTAATGGACATCAGGATCCTAAAATGAGCACAGGTATATACCCTAATAAGAATCTTTGCGCATTTTGTGGAAAATCAACTCACAATTCATCTGATTGTTTTTCCATCTTTGATAAGACAACCTCAGAAAGAACCGAGATTGCAAAGAAAAAGGGGTTGTGTCTTAAATGTTTGAAGAAGGGACACTTAGCAAGTAAGTGCAGGATTCAGGTAAAATATCACATCTGTATGGGTAAACATCTGGCAATCTTATGTCAAAAGATCCCTACCACTAATGAATCCAAGCCGAGTGGTGAGGACAAGTCAAAACAAACTCCGGTTCAAAGTACTAGTTCATTTTCGACTTTGAACAACAAAAGTAAAACTACCTATTTACAAACTTTGTATGCCTTTGTTAATGTAAATGGGGAACCGAAAAGGGTTAGAATCTTATGTGACTCAGGTTCACAGAAAAACTTCATTTCTAGTTTCTGTGTATCTAAATTAAGTCTCTCAAGCAATGGTAAAGTTCTGATCCAGCAAGAAGTCTTTGGAGGTAAACAAACCGGTCCTAAATATCATAAAACCTATGAATTAAATTTGAGCTCAATAAATGAGAACTTTCGGACAAGTGTCAACGTTGTAGAACAACATGTTATATGTAATCATGTTCCTAAGTTTTGTGATTACAGCTTGATCACTCGTTTAGAGAAAGAAAACATATTTCTGACTGATGTTTCTTCTTGTGATGGCGATGACTTCACTGGTATTGATGTCTTATTGGGAGCTGACATTTGGACACAGATCATCACTCCAGAGTTTCATAAGGTAAATGAGCAACTTGTAGCTGTAAAAACTCGATTGGGCTGGACAATTGTTGGCACGTCTGATGAGGAATCTTCTTTTGTCTCCTCCATGTTTGTAGCTTTCCAATCTTCACAAGATATTAGGCAATTTTGGGAACTAGAGACAATGGGTATAATGGATCCGAGTGTCAAGCAACAGAAAGAGGAGAGAGATAGAGATGTTTTTTCGTTCTTCGAAGACACTGTCGCCAGAGATGTGGATGGACGCTACGAGGTAAAACTACCTTGGATTGAAGACCACCCCCTCTGGATACAAATCGTGAAGTAGCCAAAAAACTTCTGTTGTCAACAACACGTAAGTTGAAACAGAGTAATATGTATCTTGATTATGATTTATTATTGAAGGATTGGTTGACCAAAGGCATCATTGAGCGAGTGACAGATGAAAACATTTCACAGCCATTGAAAAGTCACTATTTACCACACCAGGCTGTTGTCAAGGAGGGAAGCACCACGAGGATCAGACCTGTCTTTGATGTTCCGCTAAAGACATAAATGGATATTCTGTTAATGGATGTCTTGAGTCTGTACCTAACTTGATAGAGTTAATACCTAAGGTACTGACTAATTTTAGGTTACATGCATTTGCTTTAACGGCTGATATTGAAAAGGCTTTTCTACAAATTAGAATTGACCATGATGATCGAGACATGTTACGATTTTTGTGGTGGGAAGACAATCACGTGATCGTTTACCGCCATGCTAGAGTTGTCTTCGGTTTGTCGTGTAGTCCTTTTCTTTTGGGAGCAGTATTAAATAATCTTCTGGAAAACGCTCCTACCAATCTTAGACATGTAGCCAAGGCTTTGCTAAAAACTTTTTATGTTGACAATTGTCTTACGGGAGTTAAAAGTATTTCTGAGCAAGAGAATTTCATAAATGATGCTCAAATACTTTTAAAGCTAGGAGGCTTTAACCTAAGGGGTTGGGCTGGTAACGGTTACTTTAAAACTCCTGAACAAGTTGAGAACGTCTTGGGACTTAGATGGTTATGCTCTAAAGATGAACTGTACTGTAATGTTCAACCTTTGAATATCAAGGACTCAGTACTTACCAGAAGGACATTGCTATCATGTGCTCAAAAGGTTTTGGATCCTATTGGTTTTACTGCTCCGGTTGGACTGATTCCCAAAATTATTTTGCAAACGACTTGGACGTTGAAGGTAGGTTGGGATGAAGAACTATCTCAAAACCTACAGGTACAGTTTCAAAAATGGGTCGAGGAACTAGGCTGTCTGGAAAGGTGTGTATTGAGTAGGAGAATATTTTTGAATGCTTCAAGTACAGTACATGTTTTTTGTGATGCCAGTAAAGCTGCTTTTGGATGTTGTATATTCTTAAGAACCGAAGTAGATGGTATCATTGACATAAATCTTATATTAGCCAAATCACGAGTTGCACCAATCAAACCAATTACTTTACCTCGTCTTGAGTTAATGGGTGCAATTACTGGTGTGAGACTCTCATGTCTAGCTTTACAGTGTCTCAACAACCCCAAAGTCCCAGTTTATTATTGGCTGGACTCCACCGTAGTTCTAGCATGGATTGCAAAGCAAGGGAAGTGGTTTGTTTTTGTTGAAAACCGAGTGAAAGAAATTAACAGATTGACCCAATTTTCACAGTGGAGACATGTTTCAGGACCTGACAACCCTGCTGACATTCTTTCCAGGGGATGCACTCCTAAAAAATTACTTAATTCTCAATGGTGGCTTGGCCCTCAATGGCTATATGATTCTCCTGATAAATGGCCATCAGAACGCCCATCACCTGATCCAGAAGAGCTTAAGGAAGAACTTCGTAAATCTGTCGTCACTGCTAGTTCTGTTGAGCCAATATCAATCGCTCAAATGTTAGGAAATAGATTTTCCAAGTATACTAAGATAGTAAGAACTGTAGCGTGGATCTTGAGAATGTCTCCCAAGAATAAATTGAACTTGGGAAATAACATAAGTTCTGAAGAATTCTTGAAAGCAGAAAAGATTGTATTAAAATTGATTCAAAGAGAGAGCTTTCCTGAAGGTCTAAAATCTCAAGAGCTAAGTGGTGTACAAAAATTCGTGGATGAAGATGGCGTCATAAGAATGAAAACCAGAGTATCAGATCGGGAGGAAGGTTTTGAATACCAGTACCCTGCCATTCTACCTAGCAAACACCCTGCCGTTGAGAAAATGATCAGGCAGTACCATTTACAGAATAAACATGCAGGAGTACAAGCATTGATTGTCATCCTTCGTGACAGAGTGTGGATCCTGAAAGGCAGAAGGGCTGTTAGAAAGGTAGTTCACAACTGTGTTCGATGCAAGCGACACATAGCAAAAGCCTTAGAGATGCCATCACCTCCCTTACCCACAGACCGCACTCAGATTTCTTCATGTTTTCAAGTATGTGGGATTGACTTGGCTGGTCCAATGATCACTAGAGATAATCAGAAGTGTTGGGTGGTAATATTTACATGTGCCGTGTATCGTGCAGTCCACTTAGAAGTCATACAATCCCTCGACACAGAAGCCTTCATAAGAGCCTTACGACGGTTTATAGCTAGACGAGGCCGGATAAGTGTTATCTATTCAGATAATGGCACGAATTTTGTTAGTTTAAACAAGAATCTGAAGTCTCTGAACTGGACTGAAATCCAAAATACATTCAGCCTCAATGCGATTGTGTGGAAGTTCATTCCCCCTGCAAGTCCTTGGTGGGGAGGATTTTGGGAAAGACTGATAAGGATCCTAAAAGGACTCCTCTGGAGGAATTTGGGAAATTCATCTCTCACATACGAAGAAATAAACACCCTAGTATGTGAATGTGAGGGAATAATGAACAGAAGACCACTAACATACGTCTCAGAGGAGACGGGAGACTTAAGACCTCTGACTCCATCTATGTTTCTACAAAGCATTGTGGGAAATGAAGTCACGGACTTGGACATCCTAGAGAGAACCAGTTTGAAAACAAGATGGAGATATATTCAAAGTCTAAGAGACAATATGAACTGAAATCGTCCAACAAGTTACAATCCGACGATATTAAAGTTGGAGACGTGGTATTGGTTCAAATTGAAGACAGAAGAAGAATTACTTGGCCTTTGGGTATTGTAATAAAACTGTTCCCAGGGAAAGACGGCAAAGTTTGGTTGGTACAAGTAAAAACTAAAAAGGGTTAAATACTAAGACCCATACAACGACTGTACCCACTGGAAGTTACCGGAGAAGGACTGAATGAAGACTTCTTATTTTGCGACCTCGCAAAAAAAAAGGGGGAGTGTGTTATAAAATGTAATATTGTTATATAATTCAATATTATCCTCTTTGTAAAGATATTATATATTAACAGATGTTTAATTATGATAGTAAAAAGAAACATGAATGAAAACATTGTGTGTTAAAAAAGAAATAGTAAATTTGTTCCAACTAACTTGAGACTGATTTTATTTAACTCTATTGAGAATTGGTTCATATTTAAAGTTAGTTTACAACCTCCATTACAGGGGCACTGTGAATGTGAGTGACAAGCAATGGGAGCAACTGAGTGCCCAGCTCTACAAGGCTGACTACCATGGGGCAGAACTGACTGTTACAAGAGCCAAGTGTCCATCACTGGTGGGCACTCGGGGCATTGTCCTCATGGACACCAAGAACACCTTCAGGCTCATCGCAACTGACAACATCATCAGAAGTAAGTCGTCTGTCATGTTTCCCCAGGTAGTAGGTACCTTTCTCCAGGGATGTAATGGATAAAAACAGAGTAAATGGCTAAATGATTTTTAAAGTGATAATATCCATAATTTGAAAAGTTTTGGGGAGTTAGTGCAGTAGAAATAATCGAAAATATAGCTTAAGGTGGAACTAATTGCAACACAAATGATTCTTGCTGTGAATGGTAGGTAGTATGCTTCTAATCAACATACTAAAAGTATACATCCGTACTGTGGCGCAAAATACGTTTTTTGGCCGCCATCTTGAAAAAAGTGTCAAAATTTTAATATTCGTAAAAATAACTTTTTGGGTATCAAATTATAGGAAATTTAATGCTGAAAAATGTTATAATAGTGGTTATAAGCACTATTTAGAAATACGATCGTAGTATAAAATACCCCCGCCGCAGCAAACCTGCAGACTAAACGAATTTCCATTTGTCTTAATTGATTTTCAATTAAATCTAGTAATTCAGTTTTAAAAATCTTTGTACAACTAAATCTAAAGTTCTACTGGACCGATTTTATAACCTAATGGGTCATTGGAAAGGAATTCGTGTAGATTTTTAAATAATTACTAAAGTTTGATTTTTTAAGATTTGCTAGGTGAAACCCGTCAACGTCGACAATTAGCTTAGGTTCTGTTGAGTTTGCAAGTAAGATCTTTTTAACTATAAATCGATGATAGATAACTCCATTTTTAAGCAATTTGGGTCGTTTATAATTTAGCAGTGTGCTTTAGGTACGTCCAATCTCAATAATCAATAATTCCAATGGAATCTGGTATTTCACTGAAGATTTTTAGATAAAAACATAAAGGATAATGTAACTGTTGGAATACATTTTTAATTGAAGTAAAAATTGAAAAAATCCAATTTAATTGTTTTCGTAGGGTAATAAATTTGATAGATTAATGATGACAAATATGTGCTTGCATAGCTTTGAGACCAAAATTATGAAAATCGGTCCGGTAAGTTTTAGGTTAGACCGCTTCTTGCTTCGAGAAATAAGTACAGTGTAGCAGATTTATTACGGGACCTTAATGATGATGAATACCCTGACAATCCATAATTAAAACGCTAAATAAGGCGAAGGTAACTTCAAAAACGTTTTACGTATGATCACAACGCCGGTTGTCCACGGAACAGTTCAATTAAGTTTTAATATCAATAGCCCCGATAATATCATCCCGATCCTAGGCACTGCTACTTTCCGTTTCCAGTCCTTCCATTGTAAACAAAGATCGCTGAGCAAAACCGTTCAGCGCTACATATAACAGATGCTAGACGAAAAATATATGTATATCATTGCTACATATGGCAATGTTAGATGTAGCACGTATTTCTTTTGATATTTACCGACTCCCGATGGATAGCACAATTTTAGCTATATATAGCCGGATCTGCTATATATAGCAGTGTTATATAGCACTTTTGTAAAGTTACTTTTTCTACTTCTAGCAAATGTTATATAACATTGCTAGATGTTACACAAATTTGCAATGTAGCAGGTTTAGCTACATAGTGTAAACCCGGCTTAAGGCCAAAATTATGAAAATCGGTCTGGTAGAAGAGCTAACCCAACTCGTAAAAGAAAAACCAATTATTTTTATAGATGGCAATAACTGATTTACCAGTATGCATAATCCAACCATACGAAAAATGAGGTGATAATTTAACAGCTTATTGTTATATTGTTATTTAATTAAATTTTCTTTGATTAAATATTGTTGTTAACAATTTGCATTTGTGTTTAAGGTGTGTTTCTTATGTTAAGTGTGTGATTCTAATGTTATGAGCTTAATATGTACCAAATATTAGTGAGTAAAGTGGTTTATGGATTTCATAACCATTATTTTACTAGAGACCGTTGCATTAATTTAACCTCAATGGGCTCTGTTGCTAGTCTATTAAATAAATAACATTAGGTTTAACGAAACGAGTACCAAGGTTTGCTGCTACAAGGAAACCAATTAAGTGTGTTTTTAGTAAAATATCAATTGTTTAGTATAAAATAAATAAAAACCTTCAAAGTTTTATCAAAATATATCCATAAACAAGGAAACTACAACTTTTTACCATATTCTCCATAAGAATAACATGGGGATTTTAAATTTCCAATTTTTTGAACTTTCCCCGTTACCAATAATCGTACAAAACCCCTTTGATATACTTAACTATTTGTTTTTTAAGCTCTTTAAAAAGGTCTAGAGAGAAATTGGGAAATTTTATGTTTTAAGGGTTAAAAATGAAAAAAAACAAATTTTAAAAGTATAAAAAAAACTTATAAATAAAAAACTTTTCAAATGCCACGTTTTTAAACACACCTTTTTTCGCCCATAGTGCATCACTGTTAACAGTATATTTTAAATTCAACCATTATATTCTTTTCCAGCATGAAATGTTCTATAATTTGATACCAAACCAGATTTTTTAACAATAATTTAAAATTTTATACTTTTTTTAAATGGCGACCAAAAAACCGTATTTTGCGTAACAGTACAAATGTATATTTTTAGTATGTTTTTTATAAGTGTATTACCTACCATTTCTAACTGGAATAATTTCTGTTGCAATTAGTTCCACCTCAAACCCTATTTCTACTGCACTAAGTTAGGATAGTTTTTTGAGCACAGAAAACTTGCAATTTTTAATAAGTCTTATGTTATCATGAATATTTGATTTATTTGATGAGTTATGTTTCAATTTACTTATTTTGCTCCTTGTATTCCACATCTGATATGTACCGTGCGCATCACCGTTATATGAACTTAATCAGCGCATGAGCAAAAGCTTACTGGCCGAAGCGTATCAGCTGTCAAAGGCAATAGAACGAAAAAGGACTAGCAACCAACAATCGTTCTTGTTTGCTCGTCTGTCACCCACCTAGCTCTTACTGGAAAACAGCTCCACAGCAAATTAACCATAAGTAGGCTATTTTAATATTAGTATTAAGTGAACCAAATATTAATTAATTATGAAATAGTTTATTCTTTAGTTAGGGGTTGCCGGGGAGAAACCAGGAGCTTTAGCACAAATTCACATAGCTCTAAATTGTTCAATTATTCTCTGCTGTCAATCCGAGTAATTTATTCCCAAATTACTTTACTTCAATCAGGTTTCATGTTTCACAGTTAGTTCATAATTTTAGTTATTCATCTCAACACAATTCTTACACTTTCAGGTAGTGGTTTAGTTAAAAGATTTTCATGTTATAAATTAGTAAATCACAGCTCATCATAAGCTGGCTTAGGCTGTTTACGGCAATGAGCACGATCAACCTCAGGGTAAAACCTTTCCTTTAAAATAAACAGTTACAGCCCTTCCTAACTCCTCAACCTTATAGTGAATTTATTATATATTTTCATGTCCCAACCCTCACCTATCCATACCACTCTTCTATTATTCCACAGTTTAGTAATTGTGTTGTGTGATTGTGGGTTTTGTTGTTTTGTGGCACCCCACCAGTTTCAATCAGTAACAACCAGTTACAAATTAGCTCCATATCGCCACAAATAGTTGGTACTGGGGCAGCAATAGACTACTACTACTGTACAATATCACTAGGTGCTGCAGACATACGAGGGGGTACCCAAAAAAACCAGAATTTCGTTTAAAATATACATATATTTTTTTTTTACAAAACAACCTTATCACCTTCAAAGTACTCTTCATTGCACTTTATACACTTATCCCATCGTTGTTTCCACTGTTCGAAACATGCTTGGAACTTCAGTGATGGCTGCCGGTTCCTCCGTTGTTTTTTCCTTGACATCATCCACGCTGTCAAATTGGAGACCTTTTCATGCCCCTTTTCATCTGTGGGAATAAAAAGAAGTCGCACGGAGCCAGATCTGGTGAGTAGGGTGCGTGTGGTAGCGTAACCATGCCATTTTTGGCCTAAAACTGGGCGACAGAGATTGCCGTGTGCGCAGGCGCGTTTGCGTGGTGAAAAAAACCAGTCCCCTGTTTGCCACAAATCAGGTCTTTTGCGACGGATGCTGTTCCGTAGTCTTCTTAAGACTTCAAGATAAAACACTTGATTTACTGTCTGGCCTGGTGGAACAAATCAGAATGGACAATCCCCTTCACATCAAAAAAACAAATGAGTATTGTTTTGACACTCGATCTGACTTGACGGCATTTTTTGGTCTGGGTGATGATGCCATCTTCCATTAGCTGGATTGTTGTTCGATTTCAGGGTCGTACCCATAGCACCAAGATTCGTCACCTGTAATTATTTTGGACTCCATGTATTATTTTGGATTTATTGTGGGCTCCATGACAGCCCACTAGCCTCTGATATTTGCTCGATAGTCTGTCGTCGGTCTGCAAGCACAATTTCTTTCACTTGAACAACAAGATTTTCATCTGTTCCTTGAAGTCGATGGTCGTTCAGAACAAGGTTTGTCCTGAATTGACATGTCACCATTTTTAAACCGAGAAAACCACTCGTACACTTGGGTTTTCCCCATAGTGTCGTCTTTGTAGGCTGTCTTCAACATTTCAACGTTTCAGCGGCATTTTTGCCAAGTAGAAAACAAAATTTCACAGCTGCACGCTGTTCACTCAAATTTGCCATTGTAAAAAAACGACAAAATCACAAAACAGCTCTAGCAAAAACTATTACTGCACGGGGACAGAACATGTCAGGTCAACGCAACAGGCGGCAATGAACTGGCTATAAGCAGCGCTACATGAGCCAAGCGGCGAGCAAACTCCGCCCACGGCAGAGCTAATCCGGGAACTTTTGGGTACCCCCTCGTATTGTACTAGTACTGTGAAACAACATGATGATGAAACTCATCTAAATACTTTAGGTGAGCTTTTTCCACTGTTTTAGAACCTCTTTTTGTCCTTCAGATGTTGTTACTCATAGTTTGTCCCCACAAACATATTATTTGAATTTGAATTATCCTTACTCAGATGACAGCTATTTATAAAATTTCTTTCAATTCATGTTTTCGAGAACTTCGGTTCTATTTTTAACCAAACATCACTTTCTTATAATACCCGATATGCAGAGAATGTCGGAATAACTACCTCCCATTTATCCAAGTCTTACTCAATAATCAATTCCTCTTACATTTCAGAAGTTTTATATCGTAATATTATCTCCCTTTGTTAAAGACTTTTTCCCCTTGACCTGTATATATCATATGTGTATATTTATGTTATTGTTTCATTCTGTTTACTTTTTCAATACATTGTTTTTCTTGCTCATGTTAACATGGTGCCTTTTTTATAATTAAAATATTTTTTACATTTCCCAATCCAACACGCATTGTAACTCTTATCAATTGTTTCATTCTACATTGATTACTATTTTCAAGAAATGCATCACTGGCTGGTTGATAGAGTGGGGTGTAGATGAATCAGGACACCTTATCAAAGCAGAGTAGGCCTACAGGAAGACTTGACCCTACTTTATTCCCTCATAATCATTACTTAATTATTAACGTCGAACATACTTAACTATATTTATGTCTATGCCCTCTGCCTTGCATCATTTCCTCAAATTGATCATTTTACTAATTGAGCTTCAGAATTGTTGCCGGTACTTAACAAATTGTAGTATTATTTTTTTTTTTCAGATTCTCTAAATATTTATTAATATTATTGTTTTCCAACAAACACTCAAGTCACTGATAGCGACTAAGCCTAGGCATATGTTTCCAGCACATGTAGGCTTATTTCCTAAGGGCGGGTTTCTGATTCAGGTATTAGTGCTAGTCTTAGACTAAAGCTCATTTTAGTACTGGACTAAGAAAAATGTCTTTCTGATTCGAGTACTTATAAGTCAGCGACTAATCTTAGTCAAGAACTAGTTTTTAAGTCTGGACTAAAGAAATTATGCTTTAGTCCACGGACTAAAACATACTAGATTTTAATCCTGCCTAGGGGTAGGATTAATTTTAGTCGTCCACTTTTAACCTAAGCCATTTTTGTGTGTTAAAGTTTAATGTGATTATGGATTACATTGATTATCATGATTTTTACCGTCTTCGTGGGCCGCGAATTCGTCGTGAGCGGAAAAACAATCCATTTGATGACTTAAGTGAGGATGAATTCAAGGATAGATATAGATTTTCAAAAAACTCTGTGATAGAACTTATTGAATTGATAAGGCCTAGTTTGGAAGGCACTTCCACAAGGGGAACTAGGTTACCTTTGTGGAAGAAAGTGTTGGTAGCGTTGCGCTTTTTTGCAAGTGGAACACTTTTGCGGGAAGCCGGCGATCTAACTAATATTTCAGAATCATCGGCATGCCGCTATGTGCCTAAAGTGGCATTGGCAATATGCCGTGAACTGAGGAAAGACTACATCAAGAGCTTTAACCCCCACCCAAAATCTCTAATTCCCACTGGTCCCCTAAGTTAAATGGTAGAGGTTATTGCTGATATATATGAAATTGTAGGGGTCAAAGGAAGCCTTGACAACAAAAATGTCATTTGAGAAAGTTAGTTTTGGTGTCTAGCAACAGTTTAAACACGTCTTATAGAACATTTTAAGGTGATTGGGAGAACAAGGATTGGTGCTGATGAAAAGCTAAACTTAGTTTAGAGTAGTTTAAGTAAGTTAGACAGTGTGTAAAGAGACTTCCGTAACTTATCTGTTGTCAAGAACAACCGAATGAAATAATTGATTATTCGATATTTAGATTATTTCATTAGTCTGGTCGACAAGTTTTTTAAAAAAAAGGCTAGGGTAGGCCAGTAAGTGGCTGCACTTTACTTTACATCCTACACTCATTGGAATGAAAATATCGATCGATATATTGATTATTCGATAAGTTATATCGTTTGGTTAGTTACGTAAGGTTAACCTAACCTAACTAACCAAACAATATATCGAATGAAACAATCGAATAACCGATATTTTAATTCGAAGGAGTGTAGGACGTAAAGTGCAGCCAAAAGAAATAGGATGAAACACCAATCCTACCTTTAAAACACCTTTAAAGTTTTACGATATAACTAGTTTATAACAATAATAAAATATATTACAACGATAAATGAATTAAAACAAAAATAACCCTCAAAACCAAGGTGTTTGACTGAGATCGTCGTTTGTTTATTTTTTCAGAGCAGTCAGCTGTGCGCACATCAAACTGACAGTGTTGCCAGCATGGCGGCACAAATTACCCTACATTTCCCTTGAAAATCATGAGCTCTTTTAATCTCTGACTAAACTAAGTACCCGCTTTAAATTAGTCCGTGTGTCCTTAATCCTTGACTCAGAAAGTGAATTTTTAGTACATGACTAATTTTAATCCATGACTAGCCTAGTTCTGGACTTATAAATCCCTGACTCAGAAACCCGCCCTAAATGTCTATTTAACATTGCTTTCTCTGAAACCTTCTATTCTTTCTCATTATTATTAAGTTTACATGTATTTTTATCATTATTTTATTTTATGCAATAGCAAGTAAGATGTCCGTTTCACTGGAAGTGTATGTTTGTATTTTATACTGTTCTATATTTATGCTGTTTCATTGCGGATGGGCTGGGGAATTTAAAGGATTTGGTAGAAGCATAGAGGGTATGTGTGAGATGCAATTCAATACACTTGACTCAAATGTGTTGGTGGAAAAAGAACACCGGTCCTAGTTTACAGTAGCTCATAACATAAAAGAAAATTAATTGTTTGGATATTCATTTTTTTGTGTGGTATCAACCGTATCTTTATTATAATGCCACTTAATAAACGTAAAATTTTCTGTTTTGTTTCAGCAATACCTAAAGAATCATGTGTCTTCAAGCTTCATCTACAGAATTTCAGTCTAACGTTATATGGAAGACACTTGTGTATTAAACCTGCAGAGCGAAGCACTAAGAAGATTCGTAGCAACTTATCTGTTGATTTGTGATGTAGCAAAATATAATTTATTCATACTTTTTCTTTTCACTTGTAATTGTTCCGTATTTTATAAAAAGGTGATAAATTATATCAGTGGCATAGCCAGGATTTATATTTGAGGGGGGCCCAAACCGGAGGATTTAAGGTGCTAAAACCAGGGCTGGATTTCTCAACAGGCACGGGCCTATGAGTGCAAGCTTCCAGGCAGCGCTTGGCGGAGCTGAAAATTATATATATTTTTTAAATATCTAAAAATCAACATGAACAGTCATAAATTAAGATATCTTGTGAATTGATTAAAAAAAAAACAGGCTAGTAGAGTTTAAACTCAAGTTTATTGAAACAAATAATTGTTAGTAAACTACTTTTCAATATTACACATCAAGTTTGTTACAGCAATGGTGCTTACTGCTTAGTCACGGGAGAAGGCTGTAGGGAGGGATGTTGTTGAGCAGTACCATTGACCATACACCTATTGTGGCTACTTCTCGGAGTGATTACGGGCACATTCCAATGTTATTGTCGAAACACCCTTACCACCCTAACCTCGCAAAAGGAAAGTTAAACGTTAAACCAATCTTTTACGTTAACATAGTCAGACTTGACACATATTTTGTACAAAAAGATTACAACAGACAGGAAATTAATTATAAAATTCCGTTTCTATGATTTAAGGGGTTCATGAGTTGTGCTTTTCTTTCTTGTTACATAACCAGGGGATGAGCAATTGTTTATGATCAGATTGTCTTATCCCTTTCAGACCCAGCACACTCATTTGTGTAGGTAAATTTTTAAGTCCTGACAACCTAACCAACACGATTGTGTAGGTTAGATGTTTATTTGTTTTTTTGAAGTTTCTGGATCTTTCTGTTGCTCAGACGTGTACGCATCGATTGTGTAGGTTATGGAGATCAGCTGGGAATTTTTGTTTTGCAGTCTGCCTTCATGTCTTATGGTAACACTGATTGTTTTGTTGCAATGTCACGGTAAGATAGGAGAAAGAGGCAACTGTTAAGGTTAATGACTGTTTTATTTATGTTTTTAAACGTATATAATGCTAATCTATATATTAATTTTACCTAACCCGCCATGTTAAACTTCCCTATCCCAAGCGTGATGTATACAACTTCCTTACTTCTCGAGTGATGTAAAGTTGAAAAAAACTCACTCGGTGATGTAATGAAACCCATTTAAATAACATTGAGTGGATGACTTAAAAAATATACCTCTATGGAGCCAACGACGTTCAACGCTAGAAATCAGCTGTGTGTTTGAATTTTATTGTTATGCTTTGAAGAATTTTCCTAACCTGGCTTTTGTTTGTAAATGAACGTTACTGTTAGAAGATGAGTGAAATTGATAATGAAGCATATTGCTCGTAACCTCCTGAATATTGTCGGGTCAGGTAAAATCTTGTACGTTACACGTTAGGCAAGAGCGTGTTTACATCACTTTGGTGAATTATGCAACTCGCCTTCACTCGTTGCACAACATTCACCTGCGTGATGTAAAAACACTCTTACTTCACTTGTAATGTAAATAGCTATGAAACTGTTTTTCTTTGTCATAGCTAAATTGAGAGAACGGCTGGGCGTAGAAACTCGGTAGAGGTGTCTAAAGAAAGGTCTTGGTCTGTGGATGAGACATTAAAAGAGAAACGTGGTAAATTCCCTTGGGGATCTGCCCCAGTGGCCTTTGAATTCCCATCCCATGTTATTCTTATGGTTTAAAAACTGGGTTTTTGTCCCAGCTAATTTGAGAGAACGGCTGGGCGTAGAAACTTGGTAGGGGTCTCTAAAGAAAGGTCTTGGTCTATAGATGAGCCATCAAAAGAGGAACGAGGTAAATTCCCTTGCCTTTAAAGTTGCCTCTTCAAATTGGTTTACCATATGCATAATTCTACACTACTTTTTAATGAAACAGCTGTTAATATTATAAATTGTGATTTATTTAATTTTTCAAAATGAAGTACAGTATTTGCAATGGGTTTTTCTGATTTTACAATCGATTTTATTCTGCATCGTGTAATGTTTTGCAATAATGTTCTATTACCAAATCAGTGGAAAATCCTAATATCACAGTAACTCTTAAAATTATTTCTTAAGGAGTTAACTTATATCTATTGTATGGCTTGGTTTCTGCCTTTTTTTACCACTTCTTGGAGATTGTACATAGGTGATATTCTTTGGCGTATTGCATCTATAGACGAAACTTGGGTTGGTAAAATTATTACAATGGAAAAAAGCGAGAAATCCTGGACAATTTTATATAGGCTAAAAATAAAACTGAATTAACAATATTTTACATTTCTTGAGCAATCATAGAAATAACCGATTTGCAAACAATGGAAACATAGAAAAAGTCATAGAACACAACCAAGTAGAAGAAAAGAAATCATGTTTTTTTTATTTATAATCGTTATTATAGACAACCTAATGCGGCTATGAGAGGGAAAAATTTGTAGAAACACTAAAAAACAAGATCAGCTTTTTGAGAAATGATAAGATATTTACAAAAGATTTTGATTATATCTAACTGTTGTGTAGATCGTGAGTATTTCCATAATCTTCGTGAGTCGCCTGTAATGCTTCAGGTACACTAGTTATTTGAAATGGTTAATATGGTATTATGAAGGTTTCGTCTTTAAAACAAACCTAATCAATAATTTTACTATTTGAAATCTAGGTTAAAAACTAACATTTATTCAAAATTTGCTCAGGACTTTAAAGCGGTCGAGATGACTAAGATTCCCGGGTCTGAAAGGGCTATTTGGTTAAACAGGGTTTAAAATAACTGAAATAACAACAATTATTGTCTTCCTGATCCATAAAAATGAAAAATTTATTATGGAGGTATGTTTAATCTAGGGTATCACTTGCGGACTTACTGTATAGAGTTAATGTTTTTGGGCCTGAAATTTGAAGCCGCCGCAACAGCAGCAACGGCCATGCTTTGTTGCATGAATGTTCTGCGGGTTATATAGTTTTGTTTCAGTCCCACAAACGTGAGCTCACTATTTAATACGTAACATTGCTAAAGTAGGTAAGATAATATTATTTAAGGCCAGGACCAAGTTAATTCTTCAAAAACTTGCAATGATGAAATCACATTTAGGAATGGTGACCAAGCAATTAACATATGTGCCTGATCTAGTTTTTACTAAAGGTTTGTAGGAAATTAACTTTAACCAGATTAGGGGGTAGAAAAATCATGGAGCCTAGGGGCGCCAAAATACTAAATCTGGCCCTGGCTAAAACACAGTTTTATAACACCTTTGAAGGCTCTAAAGTAGAGAATAGTCTCGGTGTAATCCACCAACCTTACCTGCTCAGAAATCTTTATGACAAGTTACCAAAACATTAATATTACGAGCTGTTTGCCCGTCCTACGTACGGGAATCGAGTAGTCCATTATATCTGTATATAGTGTGTCTATTACTAATTCTTTGACAAGACAAATGAAAACATGTGATCATTGTTATTTTCCCAACCTTTCCTCAAAAAGTTAAATAATTTTCATAAGCTTTCTTTTGAAGATTCGTGGGCTCTGATTCTTATACAGCAATGATTAATATCTTACTTATTTCGTATAATCAATGACAAAGTACAGAACAATTAAACTAACCTCATAGTTCTATAGAATATTCTTTAATTCAACCAGCTGTTAGTTATAACAAATTATATTGCACTAAAACAAATTAAATATTTTAAAGACTGCTAAAAAAAAATAACTGAGAACATCTAGAATTTACTATCTATATTTAAACTAGGTAGCGTTCCCAGAGGCATCCACAAAATTGAGCGGAGTCATCAAGGGTTCATATTATATTGTTTTTGGCATACTGCAGTAAAAACTAACGTTTTTAATGCAAGTGTTGCGGGTGTAAAGTAGCATTTTTACTCTTTAGGGAGTAAAAATCGTTTTTAGCCTCTGTCGAGTAAAAATCAGCTGTTGTCAACTCAGTTGTAAATTTTGATTGTAAACGATTGCATGTATCGAAAATATGTATAGATTCGTTCTTCGTAATCATTTTAACCTACAGTCTCTTCCCGTAGCATTTTAGCATTGCAGATACATTAATCCATTCCCACACTTAACACTGCTCACCTTTACTACTTCCTTCACCACCCCCTACGTCGTGGACCTGTTTCCCTCTCTTCCCATAGCATTTTAGGATTGCAGACACATTAATGTAATTGCCAAAGACAGTTCCCACTTTCTGCACTGCTAGCCTTGTAGTGAATAAAATCTACAGTCAATGATAAATACAACTAAACTTAACTCACATGATTAATTAATTATTTAATATGTTTACTGTCAGATGTTATTAGTAAATACTCAGCTTTGTTTATATTCCATTATTGTTCATAGTTCAGTTTTCAGATTAATAAAACCCTTTATTCTGATTACAATTAATCTGGGTTTACTTTCATTACAATTTATTAATCTGAATTATTCAAATGTTAGATTATTTTCCTTACCTCTAACTCTTATACTATGGAAAGATTTCTAAAACCAGATAGATTTGACACTGATCCAAGTTTAAGTTGATAAATACAACTAAACTTAACTCACATGATTAATTATTTAACAGTGCTAAACTTTGGAAACATTTCCTAAAAACATTTGAAAGTTTTGTAAACAAAATTGGAACAAATGAAGAAAGAGTAACTTCAGAGGACAAACTGAACCTTTTAATTAATCATGTTTCCCAACCTATCTTCGAATTCATAACTGAATGTAATACCTATGATGAAGCCATCAAGATTCTGAACAGTATATTTATAAAACCAACGAGCGAAATCTTCGCAAGGTACCAGTTAGCTTCACGTAAGCAAAAATCAGGTGAGACTATCAGTGAATACCTACTATCCCTAAAAGTTCTAAGTAAGGAATGTAAATTTTCTGTAGTCACTGCTGAAGAACATAAAAACAACTTTATTCGGGATGTATTTCTTAGTGGAATTTTATCTTCTTCAATACGACAACGGCTTTTAGAAAATAATACTCTATCTCTGGAACAAGCTTGTAATCAAGCTC